GTGGGTCTCGCTGCTCTCTCTCTCTGGGTCTCGCCGCTCTCTCTCTCGGTCTCGCTGCTCTCTCTCTCTCTGGGTCTCGCTGCTCTCTCTGTGGGTCTCGCTGCTCTCTCTCTGGGTCTCGCTGCTCTCTCTCTGTGGGTCTCGCTGCTCTCTCTCTGTGGGTCTCGCTGCTCTCTCTCTCTGGGTCTCGCCGCTCTCTCTCTCGGTCTCGCTGCTCTCTCTCTCTCTGGGTCTCGCTGCTCTCTCTCTGTGGGTCTCGCTGCTCTCTCTCTCTGTGGGTCTCGCTGCTCTCTCTCTGTGGGTCTCGCTGCTCTCTCTCTGTGGGTCTCGCTGCTCTCTCTCTGTGGGTCTCGCTGCTCTCTCTCTCTGGGTCTCGCTGCTCTCTCTCTCTGGGTCTCGCTGCTCTCTCTCTGTGGGTCTCGCTGCTCTCTCTCTGGGTCTCGCTGCTCTCTCTCTGTGGGTCTCGCTGCTCTCTCTCTCTGGGTCTCGCCGCTCTCTCTCTCTCTCTGGGTCTCGCTGCTCTCTCTGTGGGTCTCGCTGCTCTCTCTCTGTGGGTCTCGCTGCTCTCTCTCTCTGGGTCTCGCTGCTCTCTCTCTCTCTGGGTCTCGCTGCTCTCTCTCTGTGGGTCTCGCTGCTCTCTCTCTGTGGGTCTCGCTGCTCTCTCTCTGTGGGTCTCGCTGCTCTCTCTCTGTGGGTCTCGCTGCTCTCTCTCTCTGGGTCTCGCCGCTCTCTCTCTCGGTCTCGCTGCTCTCTCTCTCTCTGGGTCTCGCTGCTCTCTCTGTGGGTCTCGCTGCTCTCTCTCTCTGGGTCTCGCTGCTCTCTCTCTGTGGGTCTCGCTGCTCTCTCTCTGTGGGTCTCGCTGCTCTCTCTCTCTGGGTCTCGCCGCTCTCTCTCTCGGTCTCGCTGCTCTCTCTCTCTCTGGGTCTCGCTGCTCTCTCTCTGTGGGTCTCGCTGCTCTCTCTCTCTGTGGGTCTCGCTGCTCTCTCTCTGTGGGTCTCGCTGCTCTCTCTCTGTGGGTCTCGCTGCTCTCTCTCTGTGGGTCTCGCTGCTCTCTCTCTCTGGGTCTCGCTGCTCTCTCTCTGTGGGTCTCGCTGCTCTCTCTCTGGGTCTCGCTGCTCTCTCTCTGTGGGTCTCGCTGCTCTCTCTGTGGGTCTCGCTGCTCTCTCTGTGGGTCTCGCTGCTCTCTCTCTGTGGGTCTCGCTGCTCTCTCTCTGTGGGTCTCGCTGCTCTCTCTGTGGGTCTCGCTGCTCTCTCTCTGTGGGTCTCGCTGCTCTCTCTCTCTGGGTCTCGCTGCTCTCTCTCTGTGGGTCTCGCTGCTCTCTCTGTGGGTCTCGCTGCTCTCTCTCTGGGTCTCGCTGCTCTCTCTCTGGGTCTCGCTGCTCTCTCTGTGGGTCTCGCTGCTCTCTCTCTGGGTCTCGCTGCTCTCTCTCTGTGGGTCTTGCTGCTCTCTTGAGGCGCTGACCTCCGGTAACTCTGCAAAGACAGGTTCTCACGCTCGAGCAGGTGAGAGCAGGAAACAAGCAGCGCGAGGAAAGACGAGAGACACGAGAATGTGGGATTTTCTCACGAGAAACTGATGTTATTTCAAAGTTGTCTATTCGCCAACACAGACCAGAGAATCACACACAAAAACAACACGACAGCAGAGGAAACAGAAATCAAAATGAAAATACAAATACTCAGCTTTCTTCCACTAAACAAAAATCTGTTTCTACATTAAAGCCGCAAAGAGGAAGCCACACCTGCCCTGAGTCAATCCAGGAGGACGACCTGAAACAAAAGAGCGGAAACGGCAAAGGACCTTCATCGTGTTCCTGGATCACAGCGAGCGAGAGAGCTGTCCAAACAGAGGACACCTGCCGCCGCCGCCGCTGTCAACGCCTTTGTATTAACGCCATGACAGCTACAGGACGGGGGCAGGACCTGCAGCCAATCAGGGGCTAGGACCGGGGGCCGGGACCGGAGTGACAGAGACCTTTCCAGGCAAACGACAACGACGACACACGTGGATAACTGCTGACGTTTTAATCTGGGATCATGTGTGAGAGAGAGAGAGGGGGGGAGGAGGGAGAGAGAGAGAAAAAGAGAAAAGAGGAGGAAGAAGAGGAGGAAGAAGAGGAGGAAGAAGGTGATGAAAAAGAGAGGGAAGAGGATGATAAAAAAGAGAGGGGGACAGGAGGAAGAAGAGAAGAGGAGGAGGAATTATAGAGAGAGAGAGTGACAGAGATGGAGAGGGAAGAGGATGATGAAGAAGAGAGAGAGCTCAGATTGGTGAGGGCGGTTAAACACAAACTAAAACTGGTGAAATGGAGAGATTCAAACCCGACAGAATCATTCAGACGTTAACGAGACACGGGTCATTATTTGGCGGCGAAACGTCCCAGATTAAAAAATGTTTTGAGACTTCCTGATTTGTGACAGGCGTTTGACAGGGCAGCCTTCTCAGTGAGGACCCGGTGATAACAGGATCACAGACGCCACAGAAGCAGGAAGTGGCACATCAAAAGAAAAACACAGATAATAACAGTAAAGAGGAATTAAAACAGTATTGGACCTGATGAGAGAACAGGATGAGACATGTGTGAGAACAGTTAGAACAGAAGAGACTTCAGCAAAACATTTTCTACGCAAAAAATAAGATAAGACTTGATTGATTTCACACAGGAGACAGAGACATGAAAGTGGCAGTGAATCCGCTTTAAAGACGCCGTGATGTGTTTCTGTCTGCGATATTTGACAATCTGCAATGTCTGTGAGTCCTGAGCAAATCTCTACAACATTTGGAATCACTACACTGCAAAAAATGATAAAATAATTGCTTGAATCAAATGTTTTTTTGTTTATTTTATTTTGAGTACAGGCTGTGTGTGTCTTAAAAAAGATAGGATAAGATGGATTTTACGGATCTCTGATGGAGAAATGTACACGTCACATTTGGCACAGATAGAGTCACTCAGATTGTGTAAAAGACAGAAGTGTGAAACATGTAAAAGGTTAAAAATATCATCTGATTCTCTCAGACAGTTCTAGCCTGGTCGTACCACACCACAGTACAAACTACATTTCATACTAAGGTCTGGATTGTCTCCATTGACTCCGTTAACAGGTGGGAGGGGCTAACTCCTTTTGCAGATTGAAACCATTGGATCTGAGTTTACTGTGACGTATGTAATGAGCCCGAGTCTGTTAGCATCAAGCCTTTAGCCTAGCTTTAACATTTAGCCTAGCTTTAGCCATCTCCTTTGCCGCTAACGGAGCCCGTGGGGAGTAGCGCCACAATCTTTGCAGTGATTACATTTGTTAAACTTTCCTCTTGCTCCGGCTTCAGTTTCTTGATAGAACCAGACCAGAATACTTTACTATCACATTCTTCGCCAAACTACAACCTGCCCGTTCAACGCAAACTCTTGACGTCACCCACAACTAACTACAACACCCGCCTTCCGCGCTCTGATTGGTCGGTCGAAATTCAACCGATTGTAATCGCAGACACAGGGACCAGACCCAGACGTTACAGGCAGGAAATGATGATTGACAGGAGTGTACGGATGGATAAGGCCAGGCTAAGACAGTTCTTGTGTTTCTTAAAAACAAGAACATTTTTCTTTGTCCCGTTGGTAGATCTTGTTCAGTCAAAAATGTGCTTAAGTTAAAATACATTTGACCAAATTTGAGCAATTGTTGACTTATTTGTCATTCCTTTTTTCAGAGTACATTGATCTAAACCGACGTTGCAAAAAATAACCCCCTCTTAAAAAAATCAATCATCAACGATCTGTGATGAGAATGACTGTTCGTCTGTTTTCCTTTGAGCAGTGAGAAAATACAGATTCCACAGGAGAGAATCTAAAGTCCTAAACGTGCCCTGACCTTGCTGAAGGCTGGCGAGCTAACAAGTCCTGCCACTCTGTTCTCATTCACGCTACAACATCAGCTAAAAACACATGAAAAGCAATCATGTTTCCAGTGGCCGCTCTTTGATCCGGCCGTTCCTCGCTCCACGCCCAAAAGTTCACTTCCTCTTGACCCTGAGACTGAGCCAGAGTCCAGGCTCTCAGTCCGGGATTAACAGCGAAAGCTTAACGGTGCGACTGCAACGCTATAAAACTCCTATTTCTCATCAAACGAGAGGGAGATAAAAACCACTGCGGGGGCTGCTGTATCGCATAGAACTTTTTAACTCAGGAGAAAAACAGGAAAACAAAGCAACGCTGTGGCACTCTGGGAGATAATTAGGTGGACAAGATTTCAGAGTCTGACACGGAGGACGCCGACATCCCTCAGGTAACGATAAACTGCTCCCAACACGATCGGAAACAGAAGTGGTGTATGTTTGTAGCCCAAGAGCACGGGAGACTGGCTTCCAAAACCACAACTAGCAAGTTAAAGGAGCAGTGTGTAAACATGTGGCCAAAAGTGGTACTGCAGCCTCTCCCACTCTCCCTGACTCAGGTTGCCAGATATGCAGACGAATCCAGCTGGGACCATAACAGCTGAATAGACAAGAGTTTTGTCAACAACAAATCTATAACCAACACCTTTTTCACAAAGATAGAATTGTTTTGTCGTTGGCGCAGGCTTTGAAAACATCAATAATCTCAGTACATTAAAACGGTTTGAAGATACAATCCCTCAGTTGTATGCACAGCTAAACAGAACTGTCTCACATTTGCAAGAAGACTGTTCCAGATTTTAGCAGCATGAATCAGAATGGCTGCCTCCGTATGTTTAGTCCTGAGTCTAGGACCAGCAGGAGGCCTGGTCCATGTCTCACTGTATCCTATGTTAGCTTAGCAATGATTGTCCTTTCCTTGTTTCCCTTTCTCCATAGTGCAACAAACACACACACACAGTTTAGAAAGACTGCAAAAAGTTCACACTATTTTGAAAAAGCTCTTGTAAAAAAGTGCTTTTTTAAACAATCTTACTTCATGGAGAAAACGACACAAGTGTTTTGGTCAAGGGTCAACAGCTGGTGCTAGCGCGGTGCATGGGATCCGCTAATTGGGTTTACGAGGGTTCCCATAGGAGCTGGTAAACATGCTAACGAGGGCGTAGTGCAGGGGAAGTGCAGGGTGGCGAGAAGGCAGCGGCGGGAAGGCAGCGGCGGGAAGGCAGCGGCGGGAAGGCAGCGGCGGGAAGGCTGCGGCCAGTTCACGGCGAGTTTCCTCTAATGGCAGCTCCGTGGCCAGAGCCTCAGTCCCTGTCAATCACCACAACATGACCGTATGTCTCGTAATAACTTTATACACAGAATGTGCCAATACATAAGGTTCAGGGAAGACGTGTTGTCTGTAGTTATGCATGCGTTGTTGTTATAAGCTAATTTTTGTGTTGCTCTAAATCACAACAGCACTCGTCTCGGAGGTCTCTAATAATAATAATAATAATAATAATAATAATGCATTGGTTTTATAAAGTACTTTTCAGGACTCTCAAAGACACTCCACATGGCATTATTCACTCACTCCATACACGGTGGTGATAAACTACGACTGTAGCCACAGCTGCCCTGAGGCACACAGAAGCCCCTCCCACCACCACCCACCATTCACACACACACCAGACTCATTTTAATGTGGGTGAAGTGTCTTGCCCAAGGACACCATGACAGTTTGACACTTTACAGCCGCCCCACTGTGGCACCTGCTGTTCCCAGAGTGTAAGTGTCTTGCCCAAGGACACAACGACAGCAGACATCAGTGAGAGTCGGTGGAGAAAGTCTTGTGTTCAAACCCACAACCTTCAGGTACAAAGGCCAATGCTGTCGCTCCTCCACAAAGTTGTCGATTCCACAACAGATTAGAGAATCAAAAAAGTTTAGATTTTTTGTTATGATAATCTAATTTAGTGAAAAAGTGAAAAAGGCCCAGGGGTCGACCCTTGGGGGACACCACGCTCCGGATGCAACCTTTTCCAAAACCGGGAAAAGATTCAGACCATAAACTGAAGCGTGAGGGTTGCAAATGTATCATCCCTCCTTGTATAAGAATTGTGCCATACAAATAAATGACGATTGATCAGGTCTAGAATCTAAAACGGGAAGAAAACATTAAATGGTCAAAATATGCGAAAAGTTGAAATCTAGCAGCAGTAGCAGTAGTAGCAGTAGTAGCAGTAGTAGTAGTAGCAGTTGCAGTTGCAGTAGTAGCAGTAGTAGCAGTAGTAGTAGTAGCAGTTGCAGTTGCAGTAGTAGCAGCAGTTGTAGCAGTAGCAGTAGTAGCAGTAGCAGCAGTAGTAGCAGCAGTAGCAGTAGTAGCAGTTGCAGCAGTAGTAGCAGCAGCAGTAGCAGTAGTAGTAGTAGCAGTTGCAGCAGTAGTAGTAGTAGTAGTAGTAGCAGTTGCAGCAGTAGCAGTAGTAGCAGTAGTAGCAGTTGCAGCAGTAGTAGCAGCAGCAGTAGCAGTAGTAGTAGTAGTAGTAGTAGCAGTTGCAGCAGCAGTAGTAGTAGCAGCAGTAGCAGTTGCAGTAGTAGCAGCAGTAGCAGCAGTAGCAGTAGTAGCAGCAGTAGCAGCAGTAGCAGTAGCAGCAGTAGTAGCAGTAGCAGCAGTAGCAGTAGTAGCAGTAGCAGCAGTAGTAACAGCAGTAGCAGTAGTAGCAGTTGCAGCAGTAGTAGCAGCAGCAGTAACAGTAGTAGTAGCAGCAGCAGTAGCAGTAGTAGTAGTAGTAGCAGTAGCAGCAGCAGCAGTAGTAGTAGTAGTAGTAGCAGTTGCAGCAGTAGTAGTAGCAGTTGCAGCAGTAGTAGCAGTAGCAGTTGCAGCAGCAGCAGCAGTAGTAGTAGTAGTAGTAGTAGCAGTTGCAGCAGTAGTAGTAGCAGCAGTAGCAGTAGCAGTTGCAGCAGTAGTAGTAGTAGCAGTTGCAGCAGTAGTAGTAGTAGTAGCAGTTGCAGCAGTAGCAGTAGTAGCAGTAGTAGCAGCAGTAGCAGTAGTAGCAGTAGCAGTAGTAGCAGTTGCAGCAGTAGTAGCAGCAGCAGTAGCAGTAGTAGTAGTAGTAGTAGTAGCAGTTGCAGCAGTAGTAGTAGTAGCAGCAGTAGCAGTTGCAGCAGTAGTAGTAGTAGCAGCAGTAGCAGTTGCAGTAGTAGCAGCAGTTGCAGTAGTAGCAGCAGTAGCAGTAGTAGCAGCAGTAGTAGCAGTAGCAGCAGTAGTAGCAGTAGCAGCAGTAGCAGTAGTAGCAGTAGCAGCAGTAGTAGCAGCAGTAGCAGTAGTAGCAGTTGCAGCAGTAGTAGCAGCAGCAGTAGCAGTAGTAGTAGTAGCAGTTGCAGCAGCAGTAGTAGTAGCAGCAGTAGTAGCAGCAGCAGTAGCAGTAGCAGTAGTAGTAGTAGTAGCAGTAGCAGCAGCAACAGTAGTAGTAGTAGTAGTAGTAGCAGTTGCAGCAGTAGTAGTAGCAGCAGTAGCAGTAGTAGTAGTAGTAGTAGTAGCAGTTGCAGCAGCAGTAGTAGCAGTTGCAGCAGTAGTAGCAGCAGCAGTAGCAGTAGTAGTAGTAGTAGTAGTAGTAGCAGTTGCAGCAGCAGTAGTAGTAGTAGCAGCAGTAGCAGTAGCAGAAGTAGCAGTTGCAGCAGTAGCAGTTGCAGCAGTAGTAGTAGTAGTAGCAGTTGCAGCAGCAGTAGTAGTAGTAGCAGCAGTAGCAGTAGCAGCAGTAGCAGTTGCAGCAGTAGTAGCAGCAGTTGCAGCAGTAGCAGTAGTAGCAGCAGTAGCAGTAGCAGTTGCAGCAGTAGTAGCAGTAGCAGTAGCAGCAGTAGTAGTAGTAGTAGTAGTAGCAGTTGCAGCAGTAGCAGTAGTAGCAGTAGTAGCAGCAGTAGCAGTAGTAGTAGTAGCAGTTGCAGCAGTAGTAGTAGTAGCAGTTGCAGCAGTAGTAGTAGTAGTAGTAGTAGCAGTTGCAGCAGTAGCAGTAGTAGCAGTAGTAGCAGTTGCAGCAGTAGTAGCAGCAGCAGTAGCAGTAGTAGTAGTAGTAGTAGTAGTAGCAGTTGCAGCAGCAGTAGCAGTAGTAGCAGTAGTAGCAGTTGCAGCAGTAGTAGCAGCAGCAGTAGCAGTAGTAGTAGTAGTAGTAGTAGTAGCAGTTGCAGCAGTAGTAGTAGTAGCAGCAGTAGCAGTTGCAGTAGTAGAAGCAGTTGCAGTAGTAGCAGTAGTAGCAGCAGTTGCAGCAGTAGCAGTAGTAGCAGCAGTAGCAGTAGTAGCAGTAGCAGCAGTAGTAGCAGTAGCAGTAGTAGCAGTAGCAGCAGTAGTAGCAGCAGTAGTAGTAGTAGCAGTTGCAGTAGTAGTAGTAGTAGTAGTAGTAGCAGTTGCAGCAGTAGTAGTAGTAGCAGTTGCAGCAGTAGTAGTAGTAGCAGTTGCAGCAGTAGTAGTAGTAGCAGTTGCAGCAGTAGTAGTAGTAGCAGTTGCAGCAGTAGTAGTAGTAGCAGTTGCAGCAGCAGTAGGGCGGCACGGTGGCTGAGTGGATAGCACTCTCGCCTCTCAGCAAGAAAGTCCTGGGTTCGAATCCCGGTCGGACCAGGGCCTTTCTGAGTGGAGTTTGCATGTTCTCCCCGTGTCTGCGTAGGTTTCCTCCGGGTACTCTGGTTTCCCCTACCACTAAAAATATGTCCAATAGTTCTGGCATGTGCCTCCTGTACTGGCCCCGCTCCCATCTCTGTGTGGAGTGAGAGACAAATGCCCAAAAAAATTAACAATTGTAAACCGCTTTGAGACTCAGATCTGCAGTGAAAAGGCGGTATATAAATAAAAATACTTACTTACTTACTAGTAGTAGCAGTTGCAGCAGTAGTAGTAGTAGCAGTTGCAGCAGTAGTAGTAGTAGCAGTTGCAGCAGTAGTAGTAGTAGCAGTTGCAGCAGTAGTAGTAGTAGCAGTTGCAGCAGTAGTAGTAGTAGCAGTTGCAGCAGTAGTAGTAGTAGCAGTTGCAGCAGTAGTAGTAGTAGCAGTTGCAGCAGTAGTAGTAGTAGCAGTTGCAGCAGTAGTAGTACTAGCAGTTGCAGCAGTAGTAGTAGTAGCAGTTGCAGCAGTAGTGGTAGTAGCAGAAAAGCAGTAGCAGAGTGAACTTCAGATCTAGATTGTGATTGGTCATTGCCTTCTGGATGAACTGTGCGCTGTAAATAAACTTGCTCAGACCTGGACCTGTTGTGGCAGAGTTAGTATTAAAGGAATAGTCCAAATGTTATTGAAACAGAACCATTGTAGCGCCATATAAAAAAAGTGTCACTCCTTCTTCTGCAAATCCAGTCACATTTACTGCAAAAACAAAAGATCAAAACCAGAGGAATACATTTCTTTATTTTCATTTTTGTTTTTGTAAAAGAACTCGTCAGCTGCAAATCCGTGTTGATTCAAACTCACTCTGGTCTTATCCTTCTGTAAACCAGACCTTAGTGCCAAATGAAAGGAGTACCATGGTGTGGTAAGACCTGGCTAGGGGAAACCGGAGCAGTCTGAGGATCCTGACGCTGGGAGAACATGCAAACTCCACTCAGAAAGGCCCCGTTCCAACAGGGATTCGAACCCAGGACCATTTTGCTGAGAAAGGAGAGGGCTAACCACTCTGCCGGCCCATTATCCCAGCAGTTTGACGCTCTTAATCTAATCTAATCTGTTTATGATGTGTTTTTCTGCAGGTCCAGAGCACGTCATGGATGCCTCACCAACAATATGTTATGCAACCAACAGTGAGTACTTTCAATATTTTTACTTCAGCTAATGTCGTGTATGTTGGAAAAAAAAGTATTTGTTGTGGTTGTAGTAATTATCTCACGGGTCCAGAACCAAAGAAGAACTTAAATCCAGAACTGCCAAAAATCTAGTAATATTTAATAAACAAAACTCAGAAATCCAGGATGAAATCAAACAGGGACAAGAATACAGAGGAGCAGGGTTTAAATACAATACATATTTAAATACTATATATATTGTAAAGTTATATACATACAGAGAAGGACAAAGTGACATTCTGAAGTTTCAGTTTTTGATGATTACAGTATTTACTTATTTACAGATGAATGACATGTACAGGCTCAGCAGTTCTCATTGTACAGTCTGACAGCAGCGGAACGTTTCCTTTACACAGCGAGGGTGGATAAGTCTGTCACTGAAGCTGCTGAAGACGTGACGGTGGTTCTATGATGTAGATGTTTGTGGTTTCAAAGTCGTCCGTCCAGTTGTTTTTGTGAATAACACTTGTATAGAGTTGTGTGTAGCTTGTGTGTCATTAGCAACAGTCG